CCCTTGGGCCTGTGAAGGGTGGCAGCTTTTGGAGCCCTCTTTGCCCTTGGGCCTGTGAAGGGTGGCAGCTTTTGGAGCCCTCTTTGCCCTTGGGCCTGTGAAGGGTGGCAGCTTTTGGAGCCCTCTTTGCCCTCGGGCCTGTGAAGGGCGGCAGCTTTTGGAGCCCTCTTTGCCCTCTGGTCCCCTGACCAGGTAGCAGGGATCGGGAGGTGACGTCCTATCTGGCAGATGTTTCTGTTTTAACCCCCCAATGTAGTGCTGGACACCTCTCCTGTACTGTGGGCATGAATGGGAGTCATTAACTATCCCTCTGACTTACATTTCATTCTGCACTCAGGATATTACATATGGACAACTTTAATGGGGAAATAAAGAAAATCAGCAGCCTTGGCAGACAATATTAGGTGGATTTATCAGCCTGAGAACACCAGGAAATGCAATGGGGGAAAGCTGTTTTTCATAGGGACACGTTTATTCAGAAATATTATACACATAATCTTTGAAGGTATGATAACCATCCATCCATCCATCCCTCCATCCACCCACCATATTAACCAGCACCCAGAGACCCAGACCACACAGACCGCAGGGTTGCGATGATAATATATATAAACGAGGTCTGTGTCATGTGAGCCAAACATTAATAATCATTACTGTCCATTAAAAGTAATTTCTCCTAAATGTTTTGTTTTTCAAAATAAATCTAAATGATCTGTTTATAGCTTAGAATGTAAACAGCTTTTACTATGAAAAAAACACAGGAAAGCTGCATCTCACTGCACAGATGGAAAAAACACAGGGAAAGCTGCATCTCACTGCACGGATGGAAAAAACACAGGAAAGCTGCATTTCACTGCACAGATAGAAAAACAGGAAAACTGCATCTCACTGCACAGATGGAAAAAACACAAGAAAAATATATCTCACTGCACAGATGGAAAAAAACACAGGAAAGCTGTATCTTACTGCACAGACGGAATAACAATGAAGACCACGAAGTGAACCAGCCTCCAAAGAAGAAATGCTGCTGAGAGGTGGGGAGAGGAGCAGTAGGTTCGCCCATAATTATATTTGTGCTGCTTTTCTTTATTTTACCTTGTGATAAATGTACTATAAACACTGTTTCTAGTCCATTAAGATCATATGCCTTTTTTATGGAGAAAGCAGTAATAATTCCGATAATAGACTCTGTGTTTCAGGCTGCTGCTGCACTCTTTAACATATATCAGGATAACACCGGTAACCCTGACCTGGGTGGGGTCTGTCAGGATAGTCCCAGTAACACCAAACTAGGTGGGGTCTGTCAGAATAACCCCCAATAACCCCAACCTGGGTGGGGTCTGTCAGGATAGTCCCAGTAACACCAAGCTAGGTGGGGTCTGTCAGAATAACCCCGGTAACCTGAAGCCACATGGGGTCTGTCACCAAAGGGGGGAGGACAGAGGCCTTGTGTTGCTTGTAGATGCCATCGTAACGCTTTCTCTTTGTAGCCTCACATTCCCCACCAGACCAGGTTGGATCTGCTACCCCTTGCACTTCCCACATCACGCCAGATCCCCCATGAAAGCCATTTTGCACACTCTAAGGCGAGGGTGTGGATTTCTGCATGCATCGGAAACATGGCTCCGTGACTCCTGACGGAGACCATGGAAAGGATGCCCGAGGACCGACTGACGCTGCTCTCCAGTCACTGACAGCAGCTCCCTCAGGAGGGCCGACGTATCCATCCCCAGTTTCACGCAGTTATCTCGGTGGGCTTCTGAGTTCTTTGTGGCATGCAAGGAGTCTACTGGTCTCCAAACACCGTAAGGCTGTAGCCCTGATCTAAGGGGGCCTCCATCTGGACCCTGTGAAGACCCTGACCTCACAGGGATGCCCCCCACTCGCCCCCAGCCCCACGCCGAGCTTCCCCCTGGCCGCCCCTGCATCTGTGCATTTTTCTGTCCTCTATGCCTCATTTTCATTCATTGCTATGCATGAGAACCTCTCCTGGCTGATCGCTCAGTTCTTCTGGGAACGCTGGAAAGATTCCAATGTAACTGATCGAACCAGTTTAATCCGAGACCGCAAAGCCTCGTGGACTCCACCGCAGCCCTGCACCAGCTACTCAGTTCCGCTGCCCCTCCACACCTCCTCTTCTATCCCAACTGATGGGGGGGGAGTCAACAGCCTCACCCCCATTTCATCTTGACCTCATTCTCCTGCTGAGTCGGGGTTTGGAAGGGGCTGGGTTTTATGACCACACTGCACCTACAGGCTCCGGGCTGAATCACGGCTCAGGTAGGCCTGTCCGTGAGTCATTCCCCAAAGATCCCTTTGATCTGTCAGGTCCAGGCCCCAGTGCCATCAGTGGACGGAATCTTGGACAGGAATGTCATAGATGTTAGGAACTGACGTTGATCTCTGGCCTTGCCCCCACCCCCACTGACAGGGGGTTTCCGTTTGTTCCAAAGGTGGTTAGTCCACAAGATGGAGATGGACGTGTTGGTTGAGTGGGGGGGGGGGGCGGCTTGAAAAGATAGCCTGAGAGCAACAGGAGGACTCAAGACTAGATACTGTAACCACTGACCTGCAATTTGAGGAGGGGGGAGAGGAGAGAGAGCAGGAGCAGCTGCAAAACAGGCTGATATTGGAGGCGAGGGGAGGGGGCTGAGCGCAGGAGGGAGGGGAGGGTGTGGGGGGGATAACACGCAGAACAGAGGAGAGGCAGAGCGCTTTGGCAGAGCGCAGAAACGGACGCACAGAGCAGCACTGGGCGCCTCTGAGACACAGGCAACAAGCAAGATTGCCGCCGTCACGGCAACAGTGCTCATCCGACACCATGACAACAGCCACGACGGCATGCCGAGCCACCACTGGCGCCGCGCCGCAGGAGTAGCCGGGAGACGAGCTGGGACCGAAAGCCCATCGTGTCGCCAGGAGAAGCCATTCATCCACAGCAGTCTCCGGAGTGACGCCCCCCCACCCCTAAACCCCCCCTCACAGCTTCAGGTGTCTCTCTACCCCCCCGGGGAGAGCGGGAAAGATGCAGCTGCACGCTGAAGGCGAGCACGCAGCCCCGCACCGGACTCGCTGCCCCGCGCCTCCCCGCGCGCTCCCTCCTCGGCGCTGACGGCTCTGCCTCCGCTCCTCATCTGCCCCAGCACCATGAGGATTTCCTGAGACCCCCCCCCCCCCCGGTGTTGCCCAGCTTCACACGGCGGAGGAACGAACCATGTAAGCGACCACATCAGGTGAGTGTCATTTCCCTGCTTCTCTCTTTCCTCCCTCGGTGAAATAATTTTTAACCAGAAAATAAGCGTAAAGAAAAATTTTCGGTTTTACCTTCTCCATTTTCATCTGCCTTTGCATGTTTCCTAGAATTTTTTACTTAATGAGATCTGTCAGGTTTTAATTCCAGACACTCATACTGTGTGATTTCTCAGGGGGGGAGAGTAAGTGCGAATGGGGTTAATGTTTATCTCTGTGGCGTATGGAATGGTCTGGAAAATCTGTGCAGTCTTAATGATCTTAACAGGAAAGGCTTGTGTCTAGTGGTGATTATTTTCTGTTACCATCAAATAACAAGGGAAAATGTCTTTGGTGGCAAATGCATGCTTTGGAAATGCGTTGATGCCCTGGCCTCAACGCTGGACCTGCACACACCAGCCAATCCCAGTGGCCAAGGGGGCACCCCCGCTGTTTGCACCCCCCTGGCCCTTAGATATGCGTTGAAATTGCTCATGGATGCTGAGAGGCTCTGAAACATATCTCACTCACAATCTTTAATCCATAGTCATTTTTGGGAAGGATTACTGAGATTCTTGCACAGTGTGGAATGGAAAATAGAAACTTCCAGCTGTAGTTTATCTATAAATCGAAACAGATAAACGACTCATGTGGGAGGAGGGAGACAAAATGCCCCATCATCCCTAAAGACAGCCATCACCATGGAGTGGATAAGCGAAGAAAACTTGGTGGTACTTGAGCCGCGACAGCGATGAGGAGCAAACAGGTGCCGCACTGTTTGTTATAACGGCCGTAAATCACAACTGCCTTTGAATTTAGTCCGTGATGCACAGGTAAAACCCATCCAGTGGCCACCTGGAGTGACTTATCTGGCCATGCTGTGATGGTGCTGAGCCTGGTAGCTGTTTCTCTTCAGCTGGAGGAGCAGAGAGGAAACTGGCTCTGTTTGCTTTGTGCGTACGTGTGTCTGTGTGCGTGTTTGTGTGTGTGTGTGTATGTGTCTGTCTTTGTGCGTGTGTGTGTGTGTGTGTGCGTGCAGGTGGGGTTGTGAGTGTGTTGGGGGGGGGGGGTGGTGGTGATTATCAAAGATTTGTGAGCTACAAGTCTAGAGTTATGCACTTATTATTTCCCAGAGTAATGATCAATGTGGAATATGCATGTTTAGTACATACTTTCTGGACACAAACACACGCACACAAACACACATGCATGCATGTGGACACACACGCACATACATTCACAGGTGTTTGTGCTGCATTGCGAAGATGAAAGCTGCATCGCAGACCTCTCTCTGTTATGGTACAGCCATCTCCTCCTGCTTTAGAGGAGCAGAGTTAAAGATGCTGTTTTGCAGTAATGTGTCAGGAACAATAGCTGGGATTTACTGCAACGTGTTTCATATGGAAACACACGTGTGTCTCATCCCTGCCCGCAGTCCTGGGGCTGGCAATGGGTCGGGGGTGGGGGGCACCTCGGCCCTGCCTCTTCCCCAGGCACACACTGCTGCTCCTGCCCAAGATAGTAACCAGCCACTCACCCATTAACATCATCAGTAGTCTGTTCTGCACGCCATAATACAACCTGCTAAAGGGTTTGAATTACCAGTTAAAATTGCATTGATGACAAACCTCAGGGTAAAATCTTCATTAATTTCCGGAATCCATCCTGAGTGTTAAGACCATTATGTGCTATTGCAGTGTTATTATTAATAGTAATATTTTACACAGTATTTCCCTGCTTTCACTGTAAATTGGCTAAATGGGACCCAGCCGTGTCCACTGAGCCAGCCTCAGCTTCTCTATGTGTCGTTAAAAGTGGTCGCAGGCACTGTTTTGGCTTCCACTGCCATCCTCTGTGTCGTTATTGAGCATGACTGTCTGTGGCACTCACCCAGCTGTGCCATCGTCGCAGGGGAGAAACTGAGCTGCCCGGTAGCTGCCAGGCTGGCACACAGTGACTGCACACGATACCATCACACATGGTACCACCCCACACGGTACAACCGCACATGGCAACTGCACATGGTACCACCCCACATGGTACAACCGCACATGGCAACTGCACATGGTACCACCCCACATTGTACCACCCCACACGGTACAACCGCACATGGTACAACCGCACATGGCAACTGCACATGGTACCACCCCACATTGTACCACCCCACACGGTACAACCGCACATGGTACAACCGCACATGGCAACTGCACATGGTACCACCCCACATTGTACCACCCCACATGGTACAACCGCACATGGCAACTGCACATGGTACCACCGCACATGGTACCACCGCACATGGTACCACCGCACATGGTACAACCGCACATGGCAACTGCACATGGTACCTCCCCACATGGTATAACCGCACATGGTGAGTGCACACAGTACCACAGCACATGGTATGACCACACATAGTACAACTGTACATGCTGACTGCACATGGTACCATCACACATGGTACAACCACATACAGTGGCCGCACATCCTACGACCATACATGGTGACCGCACACTGTACTACTGCACACTTTGACTCCACACAGACACACATATGCTACAATTGCAATTGCAAGCCCGTAGACATGCCTGTAGTGCATGATTTTTTTAGACTATGGCTGCCGATTGCTCTTTTGAAACATGGCATTAAACGTTGCATCAGGGAGAGAGGCAAAGACAGACTCTGTGTATATGAACTAGAGGGTCCTCTAGAAGAAAAGACAGACTCTGTGTATATGAACTAGAGGGTCCCCTAGAGGCAAAGACAGACTGTGAGTGTATGAACTAGAGGGTCCCCTAGAGGCAAAGACAGACTCTGTGTGTATGAACTAGAGGGTCCTCTAGAGGCAAAGACAGACTCTGTGTGTATGAACCTGAGGGTCCCCTAGAGACAAAGACAGACTCTGTGTGTATGAACCTGAGGGTCCCCTAGAGGCAAAGACAGACTCTGTGTGTATGAACCTGAGGGTCCCCTAGACGCAAAGACAGACTCTGTGTGTATGAACCTGAGGGTCCCCTAGACGCAAAGACAGACTCTGTGTGTATGAACCTGAGGGTCCCCTAGAGGCAAAGACAGACTGTCTGTATATGAACCTGAGGGTCCCCTGCTCACCCACTTGTCACACCCCCACACTGAAGGCAGCCCAATCCTCCAAATCTTCCTAATGGACCACAATTTAATGAATGTGAATGTTTGGTTAATGAGACATGCTGCAGGTCCTGCCACCCTTCCCACCTATTGATCCTTGAGCACCTTCCAGCCAAGGATTCATCACGTCTCTTAAGCTACGTTCATTTCCTGGAGGAACTACATTTTTTTGGTCATCACCAAAAGGCCAAACCATGTTTTCCACTCTGTAACAGCTGTACAGTTTTTCTTGAACCATCAGACATGGCTTGGTTCCGGACTGTGGCGCAGTAACATATGAAATATGAAAAGTAAAACATGAGGGTCTTCAGTAAAACATGATGGTCCTCAGTAATGCATGAGGGTCCTCAGTAATGCATGAGGGTCCTCAGTAATGCATGAGGGTCCTTAGTAACACATGAGGATCTCTAGTAATGCATGAGAGTCCACAGTAACGCATGAGGGTCCTTAGTAACGCATGAGGGTCCTTAGTAACGCATGAGGATCTCTAGTAATGCATGAGGGTCCACAGTAATGCATGAGACGTCCTTCGTAATGCATGAGGGTCCTCAGTAATGAGGCCTCCTCAGTAATTGATAAGGGTCCTCAGTAACATATGAGGTGCCCTTGGTAATACGTGAAGGTCCTCAGTAATGTGTGATGGTCCTCAGTAACGATTTGGGTGCAGCTGACATTCACGGCTTCTCCAGCTTCACCCAGACTATGATTCGCACCAGTGTACACCACAAAATCTGTTACACAAGAAGCCCAGAGGAAAGAAACCATTGGTCAAGCAGACAGCTAGTGTACAATTCAACACTCACAGTGTAATAATGGCATTAGCTATATTATACAGCTAGTGTACAATTCAACACTCACAGTGTAATAATAGAATTAGCTATATTATACAGTTAGTGTACAATTCAACATGGCATTAGCTATATTAGTTCTCTGGGGCTGTGGAATTTGGAGGCGTGAGCTGTTTTGTGCCTCTGGTCTGCTCCCGCTGGTAGTCGACAGTTTGCCCTCCTGTAGTTGCAGCTCCTGCGCACCTGCATTGACCATGCCCCGGGTTTCTGTCTCCCTGGCGCTGTAGTAAATATCTGCCCCCACACCCCCCCTCTCTGGGGAGGCAGCGAGAGAGCAAGAGAGAGAGAGAGCGGCATGGAGCAACCGCCTCCGCGCTCCTCCCCCTGCCACCGTGCGCGGGACTTCTTGAGGAGCGCTAATCCATCTCGCTGGTGCAGCAAACAGGAGGGAGTGAGGCCACCCCCTTTCACGCATGGCCTCCTGGTGCTGTGCGGCAGTGCGTGGGTGGGGGCCGCACCTCTCCACCGACAGCTCCCTCTGGTCATCTTCATCACCTCCTCATCACCTCCAAGCCTTGTTTCAGACAAGTTAGCAGAAAGACAATAAATAATATTAAAAACATGGGGGGGGGGCGAGGGCCATCATTTGTACACCCCCAAGCTGGCTGGCATGGTGGCACTCTGCCATTCCTCATAGCACATCGCCCCCCAAGACAAAGACTCAGCTTTGTCATCACCCTCCACTGTCCAATCTCAGCGCCTTCAGAAGCTGCACCCGTTCCTCGGGGGTGGGGAGGGGTCCTCTAGCATTGTTTGGGTTTCATATTGCCATTTTACTCACAGTGACAGACTTTAGCAGCAAAGCCTCCCATCCAATGTGCCCGTGACTGATGCACAATGGCACGACGTCGATACCCCCCCCCAGCCACCCCAGTGTGCTGGCTCTGCAGCAAATGGCTGCTCTGCACTGTGGTGCTCTTCCCACCCGCTCCCCTCCCCCATGTCGGACCTGCCCCTGATTGCATAACGGCACACTGGACACGGAGAAGCATTTCCACTGACAACCCCCC